AATAATAATAATAATAATAATAATAATAATAATAATACTAATAATAATAATAATAATAATAATAATAATAATAATATCAGAGAATTTTTTTTAGAATTTATTTTAAATTCCTTCTCAAACTCTCTAGCTCAACCCCTCTGATTACTTTCTAGCGCCGTCCATGCGCGCATTGGAACCGCTCGAGCGCGTTGCGGCTCGATGTGGTTCGGTTTGACGTGCAGCCACGCAACCGCAACAGACGTGAAAACACAACACAACAATTTTGGGTTTTCATTCGGTTTTGGATGTTCGCGCTGTGCGTTTCGTTGCGGCTGCTGCGTGTTTTAACGGAACTACCAAATAAAATAACGACAAAATACGTTCAAATTGCATGCTGTTTTTAACAAATGCGCCAACAGAACAACAACAATAGTTCATAAATGAAATATCTAAGCAGATTTGAAAGTAAACAAAAATTGGTAGAGTGAGCTATCAAATCGTTAAACAATTAAACGCTTTAATAATTAACGCTGATTACGCCGCTTTAAATACGCGGTAAATTTTGCATTAAATCTTGCGCAACTTAAAAGATATTTTTTATAATACGAAGTTAATTAATAGCGCCTTTATAACGCTCGGTGTGGCTAGACTTCATTAATAGCTGCTGTCTCTCTCCCTCTCACACTGTGCGTGAGTGTGTGTGTGGGTGTGTGCGCGTATAGGTGTGTGTGTGCCGCGCCTTGCGTCTCGCACAATTTTCATTATCAGACGCTAAAAGGATTACGAACCCGTTCATCTCCATCTTCTCCAGCAGCAGCAGCAGCAGCCTTGCTCTCCGTTTAGCCAAATATTTGCGAGCATACGCAAACGGTAAGTTGATGCCCCTTGACCATGCCCCTTCACCCATCCCTGGCTGAACCTGCTGCTTTATGTGTTAGCTTTCACGCCTACCTCATAGGTTCTCTTGTACCTCACCCAACTCTCCGGCAACAAAATGTTTTATATTCGCGCACTGTTAAAAAGGGTTATATCTGCCCCTGGCCCTGTCCCCGTCCTCCCAGCCTCACCCACAGCTCCTCTGGCAGCCGGGTCAACCAAGTGTTGGCCGCATTGTTAGCTTAAACTGTGCTTTGTGCCATAACTCGAAGTCTGCCCCCAAAACTTGCGCAATAAAATGAAATTGTTTTGAATTATTGAGATCCGAGGCTTGGGAGCCCTGTTATTTGTTCTCATACCCTGTAAATGTGGCCGACAAAAATAAAAAACTAGAAATCAATTTTGATTCCAAGGGGTATTCTTCTATCACATTGGTCTTACAGCTCGGTCGAATCATATTTTGAAGACGGGCAAGAAATATAGAAATAACATAATAATATTTTATTTTTGAATATATCTTGTGTAGTCATGTACAGGGCACCTTCAAGTCGATCATGCACCTGCTTAATGTAATTTATTTTTGGCCGTAAAGGTCAGCAAAGAGTTTTCATTGCTGGGCTTCGACTTGGGTTCCGCTACACATATGGAGAGTTTCAGGACTCGAATAGGTGTCTGGAGCATTAACAGTTAACATGTTGCGGTTTTTGATTGCTCCAAAATGCTGCGCGTTCCTCGTTTTCGATATATATATATATATATTTTTTTTTTATTCATTTTGGCATTCGCACAAAAAAAGGTTCAAAAGGTTCGCCCTTTTTATGCACTGCGAAACAGTTTGGCGAAAATTGGATATGGTGCAGAAAGTTTATTGTCTGGAGCTGAGCTTATCAATATACATATATATAAATATATGTAGGGAAAGAGAAAGATAGAGAGTGAGAGAGAGCGAGCGTCTGCTTAATCCATTCGAGTTTGATAACAACTGTTTTATGGACTGGGGTCAATGAACAGACATCGCATCTGACATTCAAAGATACCAAAAAAGAACATATTGGATAAATCAACGGCTTTGGCTTAAGCTTATATAATAATGAAACTTGCATAGCATTCTATTAGAAAACCTATATAAACATTTCCAGTTTTCTTTAACAAATTTCTTTTAAGAGTTAATCAGAACAGAAGATTCATTCAATCTGTTGTAGAATTTCTATTATATACATACATATATGATAATGTGTTAGAACTAGGTTAATATATTCTTTTGCTTCTTAGTTCACAGTTCTGTTAGGAATTTACAAAAATTGGTATCAACATTTTATTATCTTCACGCTTGTTGTTGTCTTTTGTATTCTACTTTTTATTAATTTGTTTCTATAGTCTATCGTTTTCTCAAGACGATATTTAATCAATTTTCTTAATCAAATCAATAAAAAGAATAATAATGGTTTTCATATTACTTAATGTATCTTGCCTATGGGCAATCTTGAGTTCAATTTTAGCCGTTTTCATGCAACCTTGGCCACAATCAATAGCAAACAGATTGAGCAATCTAGCTACCTGCGTTATTGATAGCTGCGTTTCATTACAGAATCGAATCGAATCGAATCGAATTGAATTGAATCAAATTGAATTTACTGGCCTCATGCTCGCGGTCAATTCTCAGCAGGTCGATTACATTTGGCATTCATTGCCCATTTGATGAGCGGCTAATTAATTTCTATTGAAGCACACACATAGATATATTCGACATACATATATCTAAAGGCAAACTTCCTTAAAATGGCCAATATAGATGCCATTGCTTGTGGACGTTTTTATTTGTATTTGCGGTCTGTTTTATTGTAATCTTTTATGGTGCAGCCCAATGTTTTGCCTCAACTCTCATAACTGCCGACCTACATATATACATATGTATATGTACATACTTGTGGTAGGAGCGAGCTTTATAGCGCCTAAAAGTGAACAGCACTTGCTGTCCACTTTCCATTTCATTGTCTCGTGCGCTTATCGCAGTCGTTGCTTTTGGCCTAAGCATTTTTATGTCTGTTTTGCTTTGTCTCTGTCTTTTACTTTTGTGGATACCCTGTATACAGTAACAATGGGAAAAATTGGGCATTATGTCAGAGTCATCTCCATCAAAATCCAAATTTGTCTGCTTTAATTCTTTTCATTTCCGCAGAACTTAACAAGTCTCAAAGTGAGATTTTTAATACGAAGATATCTTTTTTTCCTTTACTTTAATATTATCAATAGTATATTTAAATATACAATAATATTGACAAAACTGTCTTTCTTTATATATATATATATATTTCGAGTATAGAATCCAGTTTCATTCATTCCGTTCCATAGTAATAAATAAAATCTAGCCAGAGATAAATCTATAACTGTTGATGACTACTTACAGGGTATGCGGCAAACGAGTTTTCTCACTTATGTTACTCCTACTGCAGCTATGTTTGTCTGTGCCTGTGTGTGAATAGGCTTAAGGATGCTCGCGCTGGCTGGTGCTTTGCTTGGGGTCTGGGATAATCATCAGCATGCGCGGCCATGTTCTCAAGTTCGTCGACGCTTCAAGTTCAGCGAAAGTGAAACGTGTCGGGTATTTGGTTTTGGTTTTAGTGTTGGGTATAGGTTTTAGCTGAATAGGCTTAACGGTAGCGCCGGGGCCAACGTCAGGGGGAGCTATAAAAATAAAAATTGTTTGTGCCGAGTGGAAAGTTCGTTTGGCAATTTGAATTGAGTTGCAGTCACAGTCACAGTGACACTCACAGTTACGCTACGCCACACACACGCACACACACTCACACACACACACACACACACACACACAACAAAGGCAAACGACAAAGTTTTCAAGACCCGTCACAACACATAAAGCGATAAGATGCCAAGCAGTAGGCTCAAATTATGTTTGACATTTTCAGCCAGATTGGTTTTTATTTAAATTAGTTTCGAATACATGCTGTAGGCCTAGAGTACCAGCTACCCAGCCCCAAACCCCAGCTCATGCTCCCTATATGCTCGCTGAAGTGTAAAAATAAGTTTAGAAAAAAAAGCGAACAGAAAATAAGCAAAACAAATTGATTTGTGTGTTTTTTTTCGCTTTCTGCTGAGACTTGCAAAAAAGTTTTTAAATAGAGTATAAATAAAGTGTATTATAATGAAGTCGAACTTCATATAAGTATATAAAATTATATGAATATAAATTACCGAGAGAAACAAGGCAGAATAAACTCAAGCTGAGCTATATCAAACACTTTAAAGTCATATAAATATGTATTGAATTTAATAAATTCTTAAATTTATATTATATACTACATATAGTATATGTTTTCCATGCATACAATAAAATCTTGACCAAACTAAATTTTTAGATATGTATATATATTTTTAACAAGAATACCTTATTTATTTATATAAGGGTATCCAAATAGAGTCTATTAACGTTGTTTTTTCCTGTTTATATTTACTTTTCATTTTCATGTCCAACTGCTGCCTCAGCTGTTGTTCATGAGCTTTGATTGAGTTCCTTGAAAGTTTGCCAGCTATATGATATGCCATAAAAATAATAAGCAAAATCAGTTTCAGCTGCCGACTTTGAGACTCGGATTTCAGCACGGTCTCTCGATGACAAATTACAAATAATCGCTTGTTTGCAATTGAAAATATCAATACTGAAGGCTGTAGAGCATTTTGTTTTTATTGGATTTATTTTCATGTTCATTTTATTTATTTATTGTTTTTATACCCTGAACCCATTGAAAATGGGAAATCAGGGTATAATG